GCACCTGGCAGAAATCCTGTGCTGAGTACTTGGCTAATGGTCAAAAATGGGCAAAAATGCAAGACCAAGAAGAGACCCCAGGCCACAGAGCAGGCCTTAAGGAGAGAAGGTAACTTGCCAGTGACAGCAAGCAGAAGCAAGCACAAGAAAGTCCAAGGAACAATTCATCCCCACAATCTTCTGACCCCGTGTAAGCCTGTAATGTTTCATGCCATACCCAATGTTCTTGGCAGTCCCAGACTCATATTTCATACTCTTGTCCTCTACGTAAGTTGCTTCTACTTTCTATGCCCTGACTCAGACTAAGCACCTATATCCGGGCTTCTATTAAGTACAGTGTCCCTCCTATAGTGATATATATCACACTTCCACAGGGTCCTGAATGTTTATGTTTCTCTTAAGTGTCTACTAACCACCTGATGCCCTCTGGGCCATAAGCTTCCTGAGAGAGCTTGGGTCTATTCATCTCAAGGTTCCTACAGTACAGCAGCATTCTTAGCTCATAGTAAATGCTTTTTAAAAATGTATACCACATAATTAAGTAAATAAATGTACTTTGGTTTTAAATTGCAACAGGAGGGCCAGTGAGATAGCTGAGTACACTAAGCACCTGCGTAGGCAAGCTCAGGGACTGGGGTTTGATCCCTGGCACCACATGCCATGTTGACCCTGCTTCCGGGCTCACTGAGCCAGCACTGAGACTGGACATAGTGGCGTACACCTGTAATCCCAGTGCTGGGGAGGCTGAAATCAGGAGGATTACTATGAGTCTGAGTTGCATGACAAACCCTAGTACCACATATGTAAATAAACAAACAAATAAATTGCAACAGTACATCCTACTGGCTTGGTGATCTGGATTCCCACCATTATGACCATGGGAAGTATCCATTCTCTGACTGTCCCATAACAGATTAAGAGGAGGCCTCTGCGACTCTTCCCAGCAAGCTTCCTGGGGCTGGTACTGGCAGCTCGCTGCATTCCCTAGTGAACACACAGTAGTACCCTGCACACATAGGTATCTCTGAGTTCAAATTTTCTTTCTATGATCCTTAAAGCCAATGAGAAGTTTAAAAAAACTTATTAATATATTTTATTTAATTCTTAAAAATTCTCCAATATCACTGGTAAGTAATATATTTAAGAAACAGGGTTATAAAAGTGCTATTACTCAGTAGGGTGGTTATATGTAATAATTATGTGCTATACCTTTTTCAAAAAGCTTGAAGAATTTTACTAGCTTTTATCACAAAATGATAAATAGAAAGATAAATGTTTAACCTGATTTAAAAATGATGTAGTACACATGTATCAAACATTACATAATACCAAATTAAAACATATTATTTTTATATTATGTATCAGCTACAAATTTTAAAAAAATATGAAAGAGAGAGAGAGAGAAAGCAAGGAAGCTGGTTAGCTCAGTGGTAATAAAAAGTGGTAAGACATCATCCTTCTTTCCACAGAGCTTTGTATCTGAGAAGAAACTAGCCTCAAATAAGCTACACCCATGTGGTAATAGGAAGCTCTGCCACATGGCCATAAGACAGGGAGAAGAACGGGTCCTTGAGGATTTGAGCAGTGGGCACTGAGATGGAAGACAGAATGGAAGCACATGAGAGTCAGGAAAGGGGCGAATATGTGTAGGCCTCAGATTGCTTTGAAGCAGCCCTGGCATCAGGAAGGGAAAGGCAGAGGCAGGCCACGCCTGAGAACTACAGTGATCCTGCAACAGGCTCCCCTGGGCACTGGCCATGACCTGCACTGACCACTACTCTTTAAATCAAGTCTTTCATGAACTCTCATTTCTTTAGACACCAAGACTTTAGAAAACCAATTTATTAAAATATAGCAACTAATAAATATTTTAAACTGCTAAGAACTTTTCAGTGTGGTACATTTGTACTGGAGAAAACAAGTAAAGACCTGGCTAGAGCAATGCTGCTAAAATGGCCACGAGAACCGAGCTAGCCAGCTGCTTGGTGACAGTTCAGAGGCTGCACAACTGAAGTGAGCCACAGCTAAAGGCAATGGGGTAACTGTGTAAGGGGCAGAGCTCAGCTTCTGTAGAGTTAATTTCTAGCCACATTTAACTGCATAGCCCTACAAAGATCTAGCATAGGAATTGTAAACTGAAGTACCATACTCCTTTTCACAGACACTTTTTAGGTATTAGTATCACAGCAAGGACTTTAATCAAAACTTAGATAAAGTGACTTTCTCCAAGGCAGGAAACCTATACTTTTTCTTTATTATTTGCAGAGGTCTTCAGTGCTATCTCTGTAATTTCAACAGAGATCTTTTTCAACTCTCAGAAAAAAAAAAATGTGATACAGTTGATCTACAAAGCCTGTGCCCATTAATTATAGAGTAGAAAGCATGGTCAGTCGTTCCTTTTCCCTCTCACACAAAACATGCTAGGTGAGAGAAAGGAAGTAGACACCCCTGTATACTGGTGTCCTTATTTAATTTCTTTGACAATCTTTCAAGATAGATTTTATGTACATTTTAATGGACATCTGAATAGGGCCAGAAGAGGTCAGGCATTTGTCCAAGGCTCAAGAAGGTGGGGATGAGAGTGGGGCTGGAATCTCAAATGCTCTGGTCTAGAAGCTCTTTGGTCCTTGTTCTCTAGACACCAGGAACCAGATCTCTTGCTACTATAGAGCAGGAGATAGAGAGGTGCAGCATACATAGAGGCTGCTGCACTCTCTGGCTTCCCTTGGCCTCCCTACTGAGCTATGAGAAGTGAGACTGTGAACACTTGTGCCCCCTGGGAGGCCAGGAGGGGGAGAAGGGAGCTCAACTGAAATGTTTTTACAGACATTGGGCCCAATGAGGAGAAAAACAGTGATTATCCATGGGCTGTGATTATACCTGTCAGACGCTATGCTTTTAAAAATAGGATCTGATGTCAAATATCTTACTGTAAGAAAATGTAACTAAGTATCTAAATGATTCTGCATTCTGAAATTACCAAGGGCTGGAAGATGGAGAAAGGGTCAGAAGATCTCACTCATTCCCCTGTCATCAACCCACTGATCCCTGCCTACATGCATGGCAGAGTGCTGATCCACTGAAAAAAGTACTTATATCAGCATGGATTCCTGTCCTTATTGAGCCACAGTGCTGCAGGGGACATAAATAATGACCAATCTGACAAACAGACAATTGTGACAGGCATACAGTCAGGAATTCCCTCACAAATCCAAAGAAGAGTGCTGTGGCCTGCTGGGACCTTGGGTTCCTACACTACTGCCTCATGCTGACTCCCTCTGCCCAAATGCCTTTGTCATCTATCACATTCAAGAAATGATTCTTTGATCAGCTGAAAGGAAAAAAAAGGTAGGAGGAAGGGACTCTCTTATACAACAATTTGTAGAAATTTGGTGATCTACCTATACTTTACTAGAAACAGTTCTCTCACACATAGGTGTGGATGCATGTTATGGTTTGTATCTAGTCCTTTCCCCAAAGCCTCATGAAGTCATGAGGTAGATTTCTAGACTCTGTGATCAACTCATGATCCACTGGGATTATGGGTGTGAGTGTTGCTGGGATTATAGGTGTGAGTGTTACTGGGATTATAAGTGTGAGTGCTGCTAGGTTATGGGTGTGAGTGCTGCTGGCATTATGGGTGTGAGTACTATATCCAGCACGGGGTAGATAGTCTGAATGCAACTTAAGAGAGACAGACTGGCCCTCTGTTGCCATTGTTGTTGCTAATCCTCCCATTTGCTCTTGCTCTTTGCCACTGCCATGTAAGGCTGCCCTCTGCCATGTGCCAGTCTGCCTTGCAGCTGGCCGAGTATGGACTGAAACCTCCATTAACTGTAAGCTAAATAAAGCTTTCCTTCATTTTTGGGTGTCAGGCATTTGTCCCCACAACGAGAACAGTAACTGAGACAATACATGAAGACATTTCACTGTTCTCTAAACAAAGCCGAGGAGAGCACGCTTTGGCCCACTCTCTTACTTGTAGCTGCCTGAAAAAGCAAACGCTTATATCTGGTAATCTGAACAACTAATTTGAAAACAATATGCAATACAACAACCATTGCTGAACTCCTATCATTCTGTTTAGTGAAACTCTGTATCATTCTGAATGGGGTTTTTTTGAATTTTTTATTCTCTTTAAAAGAATTTAAAAATGCAAGTCATATTTATAAAGGTAAAAAAAGCCATTTCAAAAACTATAAAAGAAATTATATTTTATAGATACATGATGAAAGACACAAACCAATAAACCCTTATTTTAGGACAATTTGAGTCTGGTGTAATGACACATGCGTGCAGGGTACAGTGGGCCTCTGGAGAGAAGCTGTGCAGACTGTCCAACAACCGAGGCCAGAGACTCATCCCAGGTTGCTAAACAGTGACTATCCTGGCTTCAGCATTCCTGCCCCATCAGGGGACTATATTCCCGTCCTCCTTCCCTTGAGATCAGTGACTGTCCTCCAGCTGCACTGTCTCCTCTACAAGGTATAGCTGCTTGCATGCAAGTCAGAACCTTTGTGCCAAAGTACATCTTGTTACTGAACCCTACAAGGCTTCAGTCAGGTCCTTCTCCCAATGAAGAGAGAGCTATAAAATATACTTTGCCCTAGAAGGTGTTTGTTTAGAGTGAATGGAAATGAAGGTTCTTATGATAACTTACTGAATATATTAATATTCCTATATTGCAATGACAGGATATCATAAATAGTTGCATACGTAGCTAACTGCTCTAGTGAACGCAGAGCTCCCTGAGGTCTGACGAGTGTCCCTGAGGCCTCACTCTGGACTCAGCACACAGTATGGGCTCACTGCATGCCTTCTGAGTATGGCCAAAAGGGAAATACAGGCTGCAAGGCAGAAGAGTGAACCTAAATAAAAATTTCACTTCTAAAGCAGATGTGGCATTCAGGAATGGAATTAAATTCTAAGTAGTGACAGTTTCTCTTTCCTGGACAAGATTGTGACTCTGGTATTTTGTGTAGATAACAAAACAGACTCACTTTCTTGGAAGTTTCAGGCTGATGATTGCCGACAAATGCCTCTCAACCATGTCCAGTTCTGAAAAGTACAATGGAAATCTCTTTGTTAAAAATGTGAGTCTTGCATTAACTAAATTTAAATAATTCAAATACTCTTACTACTAAATCGCATAGATCCAGATTACTAAGGGAATAACATTTTCCTCAGATAAAATACTACTCTGGGGAAGCCACCACTGGTTTAGTGAGCTTTTTATGTACTGGCTTAACAAAAAATTTGCATTAGTCATTACATATACATATGGTAGAACTGATAAATTACTCATAATGTAGGAAAATAGCCCCTAATCCACTTTAATGATCCCCATATTACAAAATATAAAAATTTATTCTTAAACACACACAGAAACCTAGATGATGATACAGATGTATCATCTGATGGCCCAGAGAAATAAAGTAATTCTAAAAAGTGATACAGCCACTTGATAAATGGAGGAAGATTAGAACCTGAATTTCACAACTTCGGCTGGCCTCCTTTCTATCACACCACTGTGCCCAGCAGCCACGGACAAAGGCTGGCAGGGTTTGAGAGCAGAGTCCACCCTGCATTGCGTCTGCTCATGCAGTTCAACTGAATGTCAGTGCCCTGAGCCCAGATTTGTGGGTTTCAGGCCATTAAAAAGTAAAGACACACTATTATATATATTACCATAATATCACAAAAGAAAGGATACCTTAATATTTAAAACAACTAGAAGACAAAATCTCAAAATAAGTGGAGATTTTTAAAACACAAAGCATTCTTTTTTTTTTTTTTTTTTTTCACAAAGCATTCTTGTACATTTTTCCTTTAATAGAGGTCACAGAGGAGAACCTGGAGTGCAGTCACTGCACACTCTCAGGTGTAAAGCAGTGGTTCTGAGGTAAAAGCATAGAACTTGGGTGTCAATCATCTTACTTCAGTGATTACCTGTGTGCCCCATCTTGATCTCTAAGTCTTTTGTAGTTAATCTATACAATTTAATGATAATTTCTACTAAATTTAATTATTTCTAATAATATCCCCAGCTTCACTTACTGCAATGATTTTTTTTTTTTTTATGAGCAGAATATATTTATTGAGGGAAAAAAGGCTCCTGTCCTAGAGAGGGACAGGAGGGGGGCCTGAGTGGGTAGTCCCTGGGAAGCTATCTCTTCCAGGGACTTTTATAGCACTTACTGTAATGATTAATCTTAAAAAAAAGAAAGCAAGCAAGCAAGTGGATTTGTTCCCAAAATGTGGCTCAGGCCTCCATGGGCCAGAACTCCCCATGGTGCATTAGACCCAGGTGTCTTGGCCCATCCACCCACACCAATGTTCTTAGGAAATGGCATCCAGTTCTCAGAGCTTCCTTAAAGGGATAAAGGGCAAAAAACTTGAGAGGCTGACAGCAAGACTGTAAGATACAGAAAAATAAGAGGTCACAGAGGAATGATGCAAATAAAAAGAAAATATGTGAAAGAAAATATCTTTTTTGATTTTTGTTTGTTTTTTTAGTCCTTGGGATCAAAGCCAGGTAGGATCTACCACTGAGTTACATTCCAAGTTTTTCTTTTCTTTTTGCTTTATTTTGAGACAGGGTCTTGCTAAGGTGCCTAGGTTGGTCTTCAACTTAGAATCTTCCTGCCCTAGGCTCCTGAATAGCTAGAAAATAGTTGTGGGCTACCACACATTGCTTGAGAAAGATAATCACTTATTCTTATATCTCTGTTTTCCAATCTGAGGAAAAAGGATTATAAAACTAGGTCAAAGACTTTTTTTTTTAATTTTTTT